GCCCAATATTCTTCTCTTCCATTCCGGGGCTGGTTTATTAGATCTAAATTTCTTAGCCAATCTCTTTTTAATAAGTTCTGCTTTTCTTGATCCCATGATATTTATGGGTTAAAATTTTTTCTTAAAAAGTTTATAAATTATATTTTATAAGAAAAATAACATAGTAAACTATATTTAAATAAAAATTTTATACATTTTTCAAAATAAATCATTTTATTTTTTTAAATAAATTTTTAGTATTTTGATAAACTGTTCTTCTTACGACTTCATATTTTACCCCCTTAATTTTTGAAATAACCTCACAAATCTGATAAATATAACTAGGACAATTATCTTTTGCCTTAATTACCTGATCCAGATAATTAGCCGCAACCCAAGATTTTCTAATTAAACAAAATGGACTATCAGTCTCAATCAACATACGCTCCAACGGAAGTTCTTTAACGATATTAATACCAAGTTTCATAGATATACCGTTAATTCCAATATAAAGACCTAACTGGATAATATTAAACATAGTATCTAACTTACCAGTAAAACTATGAACAACGCCCTTATTAATTTTATATTTTTTAAGTAAATTAATAAAATCACTATCACAACTCATTTCATCACAATCTCTCAAATGAAAAAAGAAAGGAAGATCATACTTTTTAAAGAGTTCTAGTTGCTTTTCAAAAATAATCAACTGCTTTTCATAGTTTTCTTTATTTCTGTAAGTATCTAATCCACACTCACCAATTCCAATAATTCTATTATTATTATCATTTTCAATTAAATATTCTAAAGTAGTTAATTCTGAAAGATGATCATCTACATTCAATAAGACACTGTTAGGATGTATTCATACGTAACAGTAGCAATCATAATAATCAGCCAATACTTTTACTTGTTCACTTATTTTTGCATTAGTTCCTATAAATACTGGTAATACACCGTTATTTTTAGACTTATTAACCATAAAATCTATTAAATCATAATCAAGATCTCCATTTTCAAAAGTAAAATGTGTTGGGTTTACTGCTATATCAATAAACATTTCATCAATCATTTTTATTTAAAAAAAAATTGATTTAAATTTTTATGAACATTAAAGTGCAATTCTTGACAAACAATAAAGAAAAATCATGTATTTTAACTGTAAATAGACATCAATATATATTTAACATGTTTGAAGGATATCAGAGAGTTGCTCTAAATTATAACATGACTATTTTAAGTCCTAAAGCTATATTTTTATCTTATAAATACTCAATGTCTTGACTATATGGATGTTATTTAACTTACTATAATAAGCTTTCTTATAAGATTGTTTTAGTTTATAGTAATGATAAGTTGAATGAACTTAAAGATCATATTACTTCTTCAACAAAAATATTTGCTATGAATGAACTTGCTTACAAGTTTTTTAACAACTCAGATGATTGTTATCTAATTGGTGATTATTTACCTTTATTTATGAACTTTTATAATGATCAAATTAATTTGAATCAGATCAATCAAAACTATTTATTACCATCATATAGAAATAATTATAATGAAGAGTTTATATATCCTGGAGATGAATTTGTTTATAATTTAGACAAGGGATTTGTTTTTAAGAAAATTTATTTCAAGGAAAATTACAAAGATGTCCAAAATCATTTTGAAAAAGACTATTTACTGTTTTTAGGTACTGGTGGTTCTTTACCAACCAAAAACAAAACAGTTTCAAGTATTTTGATGAAAAAAGATGAAGATTGTATGTTGTTTGATGTCGGTGAAGATACAATTAATCAAATATTAAGATTATATGGAAACTTGGATATTCTCGATAATCTAAAGTTTGTTTTTTTATCACATTCTCATGCTGATCACATGCTAGGACTGTGTTCTATATTGAGACATGTAAGTCATAGAAATCAATCAATTACAATATTTGGTTCAGAAAAAATTAGACAATATTGTGATCTTTTTTCAAGAAATTACAAATTTATTTATGCAAATCCTTCAACTTCTAAAACTTTTGAAAATTATACTTTAGAATTTTCAAAATGTCAACATTATGATGATTCTGTTTATCTTAAATTAGCTTATAATGGGAAGATTATTACATATTCTGGAGATACAAGGCCATCTTTTGAATTTGTAAATTTATCACATAATGCTAATTATATGATACATGAATGTACTTATCTTTATGATGAAAATGAAGAAGCTTTTAATTATAATCATTCAACAATATTAGAGGCAATTGATGATTTTAAACAATCTAAAGCCAAAATTCTTTTTTTGACTCATTTCTCTCAAAGATACAAGATTGATGATTATTTAAAATTGATAGATGAAAAGAATGAAAATATTAGCATTGCATCTGATATGTTCATTTATTTTTTAACCAAATAAATTATTTATAAAAGTTTATTAAAGTTGAGTATAAAATCTTCTTTAAGAGGCGAGATAACATCTTTTTTTAAAAGGTTAAATGCAACTAAGCAATTTCTATATCCAAATCTTTTAAGAGCTATTTTTCTATAACATTTAAAATAGTTTGCAAATAATTTTGTTGTGTTTTTCACTTTAAAATCTTTAAGCATATCTATGATGTCATTCTGTGTTTTATAATTATTTAATGAACTTTCAAATGTAATTAACAGATTAGACAATCCACCAAATTTAACTATTTTTCTTAGAGCTTTCAACCAGTTAATTTTGACCTCATCTGAATTTATTTTATCTAAAATTACCAACTCTATAAATATACCGTTTTCTTTACAGACATTAATAACAGATTTCTTTAAATATTCTAACTTACTTATGTCGATTTTAAAGATATCTGGTTTCAATTTTAATATATGTTTGTCAATAGAAATACCAGAATATACCATAACATCATATTCGACATTTATTTTATTTGAAGTAGACTTATCTATTTCCAATACTTTGTAATTTCTTGTTTTGTTTATTAATTCAAAAAGAATTTGCTCTTTATATTCCATTTGATTAAAATTTTTTTTAAAAATTAACTTAATTCTTTATTTAATTTACAATTAAAAAAGAAATAATTTTACTAATTTATATTGTTGAACTTTAAACATTTATCATCAGGTGTATCTAAAATTTTCTTATTTATATTCTTTTTATTCTTCATAAATTTTATGGTAACGATGATTTATTGAAAATATTTATATAAAAAAATCTTTAAAATAAATTCAAAATACAACAAATTCTTTTAATATATGTTATTTCACGAAAATAATTATTTATTGTAACAAACACATAAAAATTTTGTTTAAAATGTAAAAGAATAAAATGTTTATATACATAAATAAAAACATTTAAATATCATTTTAAAATTGATCAAAGTTTCTTTTAACAATTATTTAAAATTGCTTTTTAAATTATAATCTAAATACCTTTAAATATTTTCAAAAATAACAATAAAGAATTTTTTTTAATTTTTAAAAGTCAATTTGATCAAAACTTTATAGGATCATAAGTTATTTTA